TATAACATTTTCAAAACATTTATATAATATTATTTAAAAATGTTTGAAAAATGCACATGAAATTAACGTTTCTAAATGTTATTTTAATGTTTCTTGCTTACTAGGATATTTATTCTAAAAAATCAGTTCATACAAATAATCAATCATTTTTCAGCACCTTTTCCCGTTATTTGATTGAGTTAAAATTTTACAGAGATTTTTTTGATGAAAAAAATTATTCTGAACTATGAGATAAAAAAGATTCTGTATTCGAAAAATAAGGACCATCCTAATATATATTGTTACGCCGCCCGAGGCGGTATAACTCGCGTTCGCGCAATCGAACGTGTTATCCGCGTTTCCGCACTCGCGCACGCGCACGCGTAACGGAATCGCCGCGGAGAAATAAATGGAACACCAACTTAGAAATGACAAACTCTTTAATGTAAAAGAACGTAGCGTAATACAGAAAGGGGTCAGAGCACGTCCGAACGGGTCGACGGCTCGTCTCCAAATCTAATGGCGTCCGTTTGACAACGTAGAATCTCGTTGTCCAGGAAACAAGTAAATCTTGCCACTCAGTTCGACCAACTCGCTCAATATTATAATAATTAGTATTACTCTGTACATAAATAAATAAATATGCATATATGTATATATACACACATATCTATTTATTTATTTATGTATAGAGTATTACTAATTAACAATAAAATATTATTAATAAAGCCAATTAATTAGTGTCGTAAAAACCTATTACTAAATTTGAATGTATTCAATATATATTTAATATATATTAAATGCGCATTCAACGTAAATTTAAATATATTTGTTCGATATATCCGTATATCAGTATTTTTATAAAAGAGACATTTAAATATATTGTTAACTGATGAAATAGAACTCTTTCAATTGTACTTCTTCATATTTTCTTTATATTTTATTTATAATAAGAGAATATTCGATTTGATTTTAGATATGGTTAGAGAACTACTAACTCACATACCCGGAACCGTGAAATCCGATCCACCAACCGGAGGATCTTTGGTAAGAGGATTAGGAGCTGAATCTGGCATGACTCCTCTTCATCTGGCTGCCTGTTCTGGAAATGAAAAAGTTGTACAATTTCTTCTCAATTCAGCGGATGTCCAGGTATGACTTCGCCGACAATTTCATTAGTAATGATATTTGGATTTAGCCAATCATAATATTTATGACATTACTCGGATAAAACTCCGTCTATATGTAAAAAATATTTATAAAAAGTACATACTTTAAAACAATAATTTTGGCAAAAATTAGAGAATGCTTAGGTATAGCGTAACCTGAGATTATATCGCTGCAACTATAATAGTTAAGAAAAATTAATAAATTCAATGTGCTATACTAACAAGCTTTTTTATTTCGGGAGAACTAAATTAACAAATTTAAGTTACAATTTTACATTACTTTTCTCAAGCTGTTAAAAAGACGGACTAAATTAATGTCGCATTGAACATAAGGACGTCCTGATTGAAAGGTAAATGCAGCGACGACGGAAAACGGCTGGAATCCTTTGCATCTAGCTTGCTTCGGCGGTTACGTAACTATCGTGGGTCTGCTATTGAGAAGATCGGCGGAATTGTTACACAGCTCGGATCATCACGGCAGGACCGGGTTGCACATCGCAGCGATGGTCGGACATTTTCAGATTGTAGAAATTCTTTTGGGTCAGGAAGCGGAAATAAACGCGACCGACAAGAATGGTTGGACACCGCTGCATTGTGCGGCATACGTCGGCCATCTAGACATTGTGAAGCTGCTTGTGGACAGCTATGGGTCTCCAAAAATTGGGACGAATCTCTGTTGCGCACCGATCTGGATCGCCGCATCCGAGGGTCACAATAATGTGCTGAAATACCTCATGGAGAAGGAGCATGATAAGTATGCTTTGATGGAAGATAGGAAGGTAAGATATCCGTATATCTGATAAAAGGGACAGCGAAAACTTTGGGTATTAAAAATTCTTGAAATGAGAGCTGCTCAAATATTGAATTTTTGAATCATTGTACAAATTTTCCAATTATTTCTTTTATCCCATACAGTGTAAAAAAATTACAGACAACATAATTGCTTATAAAATCTTATAATCTAATAAATCTTAATTTTTTTTAAAACTTTTTATCTTTGATATAAAAAGATGTTCATTTATAAAATATCTTGCGCGATTTACTTTAAAAATATTCTTTATGAGATAAGTACATCAATATCGTATAAAAATTCTCACAGCCCTATTATTGCAGAAAACTTTACCGCAATGCAATTAATCACAAGTAAACCTCATAATAACTAGCTCAGAATATGGATTGAATCTAACAATAAGATCATCATATTCACAAAACATAAATTTTATAGCGCGATAATTTAAAATATTATAAATTTTATATCGCAAAAATTTAAAATATTATTAATTTAAAAAATTTAATTGTAATATAATTTTAAAGCTTATAGGCATGATTTTAATTGTATTTAAAATAGCATACAATTTTTTAATAATAATCTGCATAATTCTTATCTATCTTATATGTGGTGCAAACAAATAATTGTCACAACGATATTTGAACGCCATATTGCAGGACTTTCAACTTCAGTTTCTTAATTTTTGAGCAAACTATTGCGTTTACAGTTTGTGTACAACATGATGGTCTGCAGCAAAAGCCATGACAACAAACTGATCGAGGAATTCATTCTGATGTCACCTGCACCGATCGATATTGCGGCAAAACTATCCAACATCTACATGAAGCTTTCCGGAAAAGAAACAGTGCGCGCGAAAGATTTAATTACGGCTGGGAAACAGTGCGAAGCCATGGGCATCGAGTTGCTGACTCTGGCAGCGGGCATTAATTCGGCCGATAAAATCTTGACGTCAATGGATCAGAGGAATGTTGAGTTCCTTGACGTATTGATTGAGAACGAACAGAAGGACATAATCGCGCACACCGTGGTGCAGCGGTACCTAAAAGAGCTGTGGCAGGGTAGCCTGAATTGGAACACGTTTAAAACGATCTTGCTGTTCATCGCCTTCATCGTGTGCCCGCCGGTCTGGATAATGTTCGCTCTTCCGCTTGGGTACAAGTACAATAACGTGCCTATCATCAAGTTCATGACGTATTTCACGTCACACATCTACCTGATGGTCTGTCTGTTGCTGGTCAGCATTTCGCCGATCGCAAAGACATACCACCTGGTAACGTTCGATGGATGTCTGCTGGTATTGCTGATTGGATTCTTTATCTTCGAAATAGCTCTAAAATATAAAAGCGACAAGTTTATGCTCAATTTCATCAAGGTGATGGTGCTAATGTTTGAAGCAAATTTCCCCTTATTGCACTGGATATCATTACTGGATCAACCGGACTTAAAAATTTTGACTTATCTGATAAACCAGCTGTTTGCCTTCCATTTCCTTTTAGCTAGCGTGCAAGTCATAAACTTCCTGTCGTTTCACCATCTCTTCGGGCCATGGGCCATCATCATCGGTAATCTTATGAAGGATCTCGCGAGATTTCTCGTGCTGCTGGCGATCTTCATTTTCGGCTTCGCCATACAGTTCATTGCGCTCCATCAGCCGTTGAATGAAACGAATTATACGTCTGTTAACAGTTCGTATACGGATACTATGGATATAGAAATTAGATATTTGAATACTACGAAAATATTTAAACTGGATGGTACAGAAAAGCCGAAGAAAAACGGTAAGTTCAAAACATACATCATTCTCATTTTCATGTTCCTTTCCTTTTTCAATCTTCTTTCCTCTCTCAGCTTTCTCTCTCTCTCTCTCACACACACACACACACGCGCGCACACACACACACACACACACACACACACGTTTTAAAGCAAAATCTCAGCTATTAACTTTAATTAACATTTACACGGACGGTTCGTAATAACAAAAATATCTCAGATACAGCAAATATCTAAAAACAATTGTAAGTATCCAAAAGTCTCTTCCTCTGTTAAAAATGTTCTTTGAATATTTGTAAATTTCGGGATAATTGCACGTAACATATAGAAATCGCAAGTTTTTCAATTCCTATATTTTTTGTTTAAAATTGGAAACCATCTCGTTAGATAAGAACACGTTTTTTGTTAAGCGCTTTTTCCGACGATAAGCAAAAGCGAGGAATTTATATGAATCGCAGCATATATACATCTATCATGTATGACTTGAAATCGATTCATTTTGCATTACATTTTTGTAACGTTTATAAATATACCTAGTATGCGTCTAGGCAGTAGCAGAGAATATTTGAATTACGTCCGCGTATACACGAGGCATCTTACAAGATACATTGTTCAACGGATGGTTACAGACTGCGGGAATCTATGTGTGATCGAATTTTTGTTCTTCGCCATATTCGGTCAGACGACATATGCACAATTCAACCAAGACGGGAATCAGCCCGATTGGGCGAGCGTCCTCTTCAAGCTCGTCTACGGCATTTATATATTGGTGACAGTGGTGATGCTTATTAATCTCCTAATCGCCACAATGAGCAATACCTACTTGCAAATACAGGCGCAATCGGATATCGAGTGGAAATACAGACTGAGCAAGCGTATTCAAAAAATTAACAGGTAATAAAATGTATCGAAGAAAAAAAAGATATATTAAGGCGAAGAAGTACGGCAAATTGTTGCACGAAACCATTTATTGTATCATTCATCACACTAATCGTATTTTCATTACGCGACAGGACCACCAGGGTACCACCCCCGCTGAATCTCTTCATGTGGATCCCGTGGATCATGTGGTTTTTCGTCAAGCTTTACAAGAAAAGCACGACCAAACAGCAACAACTGCTCTCTTCGACGCACGAGATGAATGATTACGTTGACTTATCGGTAGCTCACTCGAGTTCACTCGGGACTCAGCTGTCCTTTCATAACGCCGTCACAATCGAGAACGTTGTCGACTGGGACGTCGTCAGACGTAAATACAGACACCTTTACGGCGAGAAGATCGAACAGAAGTTGGTCCAAGAGAGCGAGGAAACGATTGAGAATGCGTTGGCGGTTTATAAAGACACATCCAGCTTTGCCGAGAATGCCGTGAAATCGGGGCTTGGCCTTGGAGCTTGAACAAAGTGGGAAATGATCGAGATAACCGTCAACGATATATTACATAACTCTCTGAAGAAAAAAGAGAGATTAAAGCTTCTTCTATCTTTCACAGATTCGCCACATTAAATTTTTTATTATTTTATACTAGTCTAGTATATATTGTAATTTATTTGTGATAGACAGATATCACGTAAGTAAAGTATGTTTTACGTTGCCTTGAGATATATGTATATCGCTAATTATAATGAAATACATACATATATATAGATGTCATAAGTGTAGACATATAGAAGTCTATTTCCATCACTGTTCATTTTATCTGCTCTTTCCACACGGTGGCTGTGCCTTGTTTTGTAGATAAAAAATACCTTGAGCGTTAGTGTTGATAAATTCGCCCATAACGACGGTGCTGGAATTATTATCGCCGCATTTACCAAGCTGGAAGTCCATCCAATTGGAGCATTTGCACCGCGACGAAGTCATCAGGATGCACGATGGACTCGACGAAAAACTGATGACCATCTATGGCTGCAGGTTTCTAAAAATACAAGCTAGGATCAATATCTTCTTGCACGTAATATTGTAATATTCAATGTTAGCGTCGAGCCCATGCAGTAAACAAAAATTATTTAAAATGGATGGAAATAAATTTATTTCGACATTTCTGAATTGGCCCTTCCGATTTTACGAATCCATTTGAATCAAAAAATAATACAATACGGACAAGAATAACCAAATTCAACATAGTGAATTCAGCTCATTTCGTATTTCAGTTTTTTTGAATTAAAAAATAATAGAGACATGAATGCATCTCCGGATTCTAAAGCACCAAATCTGATAAATTAAAATAAATTGCAATTTTTAAGTTTAATATATATTTAACATCTCATTGCTGTACATTCGGAGAATATACGCTAATTCTCATCCTCATTGTTAAGCTCATCTCCAATTTCGAATGTAATTCCGTCTTCATTTATCAAATTGTTGAAACGATACAATTGTAATATTATTATGTGGCTTCAAACATATGAGTGAGTTCGTTATTGTTAGCTCTTACGTATCCAATCTTAAGGCCGTTCATTAAAGAGTCTAAGTATTTTGCCATTTTTCAAAAAGAATACTGACAAAAATCTTTATCTTGGTATAAATTCACTCTGGACTTTCAAACATCCACACGCTTCCGATCTTTTCTTTTCAAACGAGTAAGATATATATAAACTAAGAATCTTCTTTTGCAGCTATTTACTTTATATCTCTTCAAGTAATACAGTATACAAAAATACAGTAGGTTTCTTCTGTTTCTTTCCTGGATAGCCAACTCGAGAACATTATGATATTCACGATTTGTCGCACGGTTTGTAGCTCAAAAATTTGGACATATAGCTGAAATGCGAGAACGACATTGGATAACGTCAACCACGTCATGTACAATGTTCAAAATCGCTTGCGAATCTCGTTACGCCTTCGCTCTCCATTGCTGTCTGAAAGTGCTGGAGGTTCCGGAGAGTCAGTAGATGCACTGATACTGGTATCAAAGATCATATCACGTAGGCGCACAAGATGTACTGCGCACTGAAAATTACGCGTTCGGTAGCTGCGATCCAATTGCTAAAGCGCTCTTGGAATCTTTTCATTATTGTTATTGAGTACATATCAAACAAGGATAACAAGTATTATACGAATACTATGAACTTGATCGCCAGTATCGCGTAACCGTATTACGCCTTTACTATTTTTAACTGCACAGCACATTCGTTCTGAATTTAATTACATTTCTCGGAATGTAAAAGATCCGAGGGAGATTTTTGCATTGTGGACAGCAAAAATGATAAATTTAGATAAATTAGGACAAGATTAGCTTTATATTAGTTTTGTTATCTTTGAGTAATGCAAACGACGTTACAATTAATTATATTAATTTTAAATGTATTATGTATTTAATATATTAAATATTATGGCACTATCATATATATTTTTTTGAATTTAATTAGTTTATAATTTATAGATAGTAAATACATTTTCATACATTTTGTAATACATAAATCTTGGTAATGGCTTTGTAATACAAAAATCTTGGATTGGGCGTAGTATTAAAAATATTTTTGTTACAATTATATTTTTTTCTTGTAATTTATAAATATATTTATATTACATAAAATTATATTTATTAATAATTATAATTATATAGTTTTTAAATATTTTTTTTTATTAACGACTACATAAATATTTTTCTTCCAAAATAACGATCACATTCGAAATTATAGACATATATAAGATGTGAATATTATAATTAGGCATGTAAATAAATACCTCGAAAAAAATTGTATCAGATTGAAAAAAATGAGACCTTTGTATCATCTTAAATATATAATACGACTTCGAAAAAAAACTGTTGTTAAATCATTAAAAAAAATCTAAGTGGCATTACCTTCAATATATAACAATCACGGAAAATTATTTTGTAATTAATAAACTCCGAAAAAAATTATTGTATCAAATTAAACAAAATCCAAGTTGTATTATCTCTAACATATACATAATTTTAAAAAAATTTAATTTAATAAATTAAAAATATAACATTACCAAAAAGAAGTGAAATCAAAATATTATTTCAAGTATATTTATTGTAATTGAATTAAAACTAAAAAAAATAATATACCTCAAAAAAAATATTGTATCAAATTAAACAAATAAAATCCAAGTTGTATTATTTTCAATGTATACGTAAAAAATAAAAACAAGAAATGCAATAGATAGCGTAATGAGGACCGCAGTAATTAAAAAGAGATTTCGATAACAAGTAGCAAATTACGTGACAGAAAAATCAAAAATAGGAAGAAATCTCCAGCAGCAGCATACTTGACGCGCCCGTTTTTTGTAAATAAACTCATGGAAATATAATGCATGCAATTCATGCTAACAATACATTATTTATTAATAGTAAA